AGAGAGAGTAGAAATTAATATGATGTTGGAATTTAGCATAGTTATAATAAGGGTAATATTGGGATCACTCAAATTTCATAAAAAATTTAATACTTTTAACTATTTTTATTGGTAAGCGTGAATTAGGTAGAAACATCTTATATTGTGTACTAGAGGGAGTATCATCAGTCAAGAAAAATATTATAAAAGAAATTAGCCACGAAAGGAAGGGCATGAGAGCCTTATATGTGTACCTTTCATGAGCTTTACAGCAATGACCTCAAACAGAAGTGAAACTAGCATGGAAACATGACAAAGACCTGCGTGAAGATAATTCAAACACATACAGGGTAGTTAGGGTAAAATATATTTCCTCTGGGAAAGAATAACGTAATGCTGAGAACTAATGCTCAAACGTCTACGTAGGCAATAATGGCAGTAAGAGAAAAAAAATGGTGTTTGAAGAGATAGACCTCCTTAAGTTGTCATGTTAGTTAATAGATTAAAGCACCACTATTAAGGAGATCATGGTATGGACAATGCATCACACAAAATTTGATTCTTGATGACGAGCTAGCAGCTATGCTTAAGAGTAAATATCAGTCGTGGCAGAAGCAACATAACAGCCATCCCCCAATTTTGTTAGAAGGCAACAAGCATCAACCATGAAAAGGCAGACATTAATCCAGTTCCCAAATTATAATAATTGGGTGCATCTTGTTCTAACTATATCTCTGGGAATTGCTTCAAAACTCAACAGAAGCATAAAAGTTACTTACAGAGTATTTATTGGAACCTATCTGTCTCTCGAAGACCCTAAAATAGTAAAGCAGATACAGCCCACAAATCAATTCTGGTGTCGATGAAAAGGCAAAGATGGACAGAATCCATTTCCAAGAACGAAGCTTTCCCAAAAAATCCTGCCATGAAGCCAACAAAGTGCGGTAACATAAGAATACATACTAAACTCAAATGAGCGGAAGTCTTTATGCTTTACGAGTTGGTTTTACAAGTGACAACAGAGTGGTAGTTCATTAAGCGTTTATAAAGTTAGCGAAATCTTATTTATTTTTCCTTTCGCCCTGCTATGGCATGAACCTCTAGAAAAAGTTAAGAAAGAACCGTGTAGAAGTCTGAAGTTTAGTATTATAGCGTCGGAATAAAAGTATCAGTAAGATCATTTGTCTGGCGTTGTACAATAAAAATTGACAAATACCAGGTGATCTGGCACCTGATAAGGGCTGTAAGAATTGACACTGACCCAGTTTGAAAGAAATTAAATTAAAATTATGATTAAACATCGCATTTAGAGAGTAATTAAATTAAATAATAATAAGGATCAAGCTCAATCTATAAAATTGGAATGACTGATACAACTCATTGAAAAAACATCACAAAACCCAGTTCCATTATCCGCCACCGTTGACCTAATTACCAAAAATAAGATGGAACAGGCGAACGAGCAAGGGCACCTGATAGACATTACCAGACTGTTCAAACGGCCTTGGATCCCGAAGAAGATTGAGAAAGCGCCGAGAAGATGATGACAGTCCTTGTGACGGGAGCATTAGCTGCGACACTCAAGACGATAAGCATTTAGCAATGAATCAGAAGCGAAAACCTTCATCGCAAAAATCTTATTGAGAGGGTGTAGCAATAACACCCAGAAGGTTGTGGAGAGGGATTACACACCAAACCAGACGGGCCGCCGTTCATTTTCACAGTGAAGCAGAAAGTAACGACCTTGTCTGCGTAATTTGCCTTCGCCTCTGGCTCGAGTCTCAGGGTCGTCTTCTCGCAACTTTCCCTGAGTTCTTCGCAGTCGAGAATTGCGTATTCTATATTCAATTGACGTGCGCGTGCATTCTTGAATTTTCTCTTGGCTGTTGTGTTTTATTTAAACATGTTCAAAACTTGAAAACCCTTTATTCAATACTACTAATAAATTAAGCGTGCTCGAGTTCAAGCCTTGGGAATTTAGGATAAAAACTCATCAGGACAGCTGAGCATTCGAGGGATTAGTTAAGATCCAATGGCATTATTCAATATTAGTTGGTTTCATTTAAAAAAGTACAAATAAGCTTGCGATTTTTATTTTTTTTTGCCAAATTTTAAGGTACTCTTAATTAGCTAATGCTCTCAAGAATTACTGTAGTTGGGTGTTCTTCTTCCTGTCCACCTGCTTTTAATGGCGCTTGCACAATCATTAATCATTGATAATACAATAACAGTATCTTAATTTCTAATGCTACTCCCTCCGATCTTATATATAAACTTCCCGTTTTGATATTCAAAATATAAACTTTATTTTTATTTTGTCTAAACATTTATTATTTTTCCTATTTTACTCTTAGTTGATTATATTTAATGCTTCCCTTTTCTCATTAATGTTATTCACGTGTATTTTCTTTTATTATTATTTTATTTATTGCTTCTTTTTTACTCTCTTATTTTTAATTAATTTTAATTGTTATTTCGTTAAACGTGATTCGACTAAACTTATATATATATATATATAATATATATAAATATAAAGGAGGAGGGAGTTTAGGGGGCCTTTTTTTTTAAATTATTAATTACTACTCAAAAACTAAAAAACGTCTTATATTTTTGAACATCGTACTTGTTGAAATTGTCTTATAATTTTAGATGGAACCACTGATCTTTCATGCATAACAAGGTTTTAGAGGAATTTTCCAAGTTATCAAAAAATAAGCGGCATGACGTTTTCCATATATTAGACCATCTATTAGAATTTAATACTATGTGGATATTTTATGATTTGCTTTCATGATAATTAATGATTAAGTGTTTTTTTTTTGGCCATGATTAGATGTTTGATTCAAAAAAAGAAATCTGTGCTTAGAGGCACATCAATAGAATCTTGCTGAGTTCCCATCTTAACTTAGACTTACTCGTACAATGATACTATTCGAACATGACGTGGTTCCTTCCCCCTATTACCGCAATCTAAAATTCCAACGCAGTTTGACAGGAACCAAAAAAAAATTTGATAATTTTCGGAAATTCCCATCCCGACTAATTGTTCAGAATCTCACGCCTTAAATTCAAATATTAGTTATGGGGTAATTACCTGAATCGCTTTTTAAAAATAACAAAGAAATATAATAATTGATCACACCTAATCTCTTAAAATACAGGCAACTAAAACATGACTTATCTTTCATGCTACAGAAGATCATACCCCTAATATGTTTCATTACTCATGCAAGGGATTTATTCATTGATTTCCAGATTTGCAAGCCATAAGTGTACAGATAAATATAATGCCGTTATTATTACCATTATTCTACAAGTTTGTCAGGCCAGAGGCTCGTCCACATCCTGATCTCTTCCTCACCGTACAGCTTCCTGATTCCGCCGTAAAATCCATCTACTTCATCCCCTTCCTCTCTGTGGTGCTTCCTGTCTATCACTGCTTGTCTCCATCTGCATCCTAATGCATACTGCTTGAACTCCAAAACCACCATGTCTGTCACCAACCCCACTTTTTGTTAGCCATTCATTTCAACCTTTGCTACTCTTACTTACTGCTACAACTTTCCCATGAAGCCTCCTCAGTATTATTTTATTCCCTTTTTCTTGTTAATAGAAAAATGCCCAAATTCCATGGTAACCCTATGGTTTAACTAAACTTCAGAAAGGAGAAAGTGGGAAGACCATTGGGTAATTTTTGTTTGTTACCAGACGCACAACATTGGATACTCATCAGTTAAAATAAACAAACCGGCAAAATAAAACGGAACAGATTGATTCTCTCACCACTAAAGTGACAGTGGCAATGATTCACATGTCCCTGGCATGATTCCAAGTGACCAACGACGCCATACCACCAACCTACAACAGTACATTAATTCTGAATAAGTATGATGGAAGATAGTGTTCACAACAATTCAGAAAAACTTGGGCAGCATTGAACATACCATAAGGATAATCTTTGTTTCTTCTCCACTGGATCTCAATGTGATCTCCTGGTTTTAAGTCATCCAAACGGTCAGAGGTATAAAGAACATGAGAGGAAATGTCAATGGGCGGCATTCTCAGCCTGTCCCAGTGTATATTTTCCTCCATTGACCATCGCGCATGAGGTAAGTACCTGCAGAAAGCATCTCCATTTTCAGCTCCAGAGAAACAGGACCATGACAGACAAAAGATAGTGTCAAAGGTTGGTTTCAAGTTTTGGTTAACACTTCGTAGGATTAACATAGTCCAACTACATTATCTGTATCGGTTGATCATTATCTAACCACTCGCCTGGGAAGAGCCCTTCTTTGAAAGAGGCGACCTTTCCACTTACCTTGCCTGAAAGGTGTCAGTTCGAGAATCATAGCATAGTTGGGCATCATAACACGAGAGCATGAAACCAGCATGACCATTCTGAAAATGGGAAAATATATTTATCATTGAAGGGTGCTACAGCTACATATAAAATTCAAAAGCAGATCCTCCGTACAGAACACAAATGAACTCTAAGAATTAACAATAAACGATCCAATAAGTAAAGGAACATGCTGAAGTGATAACTCATAACAAGCTGAAACCATTTACCTCTCGGTTATAGACTTGGGCTGGGAACCAAAACTTCCCGTTCTCAAGAGAAAGATACAAAGCCATGAATGAATCGTCTGGTAACACGCTCCTGCCAGATTGCCTGCCGTTTCCTGATTTGGTTTTAATCCATTGAAAGGGACTAAAACTTTGAAGGGAAGCAAATATTCCTTTTTGATTGCGTCTGTGGAAGATTTTTTCTCTGTTTCGGGAAGCCACATACCATCTCCATTGCCTATAAGCAGAGGCACCGATAACTTTACCCCACTTACGCTCTATGTGTTTCTCCCATAAATAGTCACTTCGACATCTCTCCCTAAGAGATGGGCACACTGATGCCATATTGCATAAATCAGCTGGGGAAAGTTTCTCAAGGACGCAATCCAATGCCAAATCAGGCAAATCCAACGGAGAAAATTTGCATGCCTCTTCTCCACTCCCCACTTTAGGCACTAAATTGTCCTTGTTCACTGACATAGTTGGAGGAACCTCACTAAACTAAAAGCTACCTCGCTTTTCCGGTGCTGGGAACTTAGTGAACTTGATAAGCTCTCCCAAAACCCAATTGGCTTGCCGGTTAATGACTTGGAAAGGACGATGAGAAAGGAGAGGAAAGACAATAAAAAGCACAGCATTGTAATAAAATACTTATCAAGTGGTTTATCTAGTTCAGATTGGGGGGGTAGCAAAGCTAGAACTCATTGCAAATAAGGACATGACAAGTGCTTGTGCTTGGTCTTTCGTCAACAACAACTAAAATGTTTAACAATCAGTGAGAAAATGCTTTCTTTTCTATTTCAACCAACGGAAGAAGAGATTGGTGGATTGGCGAAACTAACAGTTTTGTTTTGCTCAGTGCTTCCTTTGATCCGTCGCTATAAGAGAAGGACTTGTGTAGACTCCACAACCGACAAACTTTTCAAAGCCGATAGTTAAAGTAAGCCATTGAAAACACAGAACAAACATCAGGCATGCTTCTTTAATGCATTACTATCTCCATACAGTGAATGGCCAATAAGAGAGCCTATCCTGTACAGCGAGTGGGAGGCAGCTGTCACGGCTTGAAAGGGAGATATCAAGCGCAAGAAACTGAGCTATAGGCCAACACTATAATGACGAACTAATTGATGGTATGACCCGAAAATGACATGGGAGGGGGCCAAAACCCCAATAAGCAAACTAGTACTGTAATCTAGGAGACGAAGGAGAAACTAACCTGGTAAGTCTGAATTAGACACCAATGATCGGTTTAATGTGCTTGCGAATATCGCAAAAAAGCTAGAAGATGACAGTGAAATGCTGAGTGGGTCTCAACTCTCAACCTTTTCTGAATGCTCGTTTCGTGTGAATCTGTGCGGCGTGCTAGTGTGATTGTGTGAAAGAAGGGAGGGAAGAAAGGGACTCCTATCATAATTGATGATGGGTTTCAAGAGTCGCGGGGCGCCTTCATTTGTTGCGTGTCATTGTGATTTACACAGTGGCATACAGAGAACTTATTCCTTTTTCCTAACTCCTACCAAACTCCATTACCCCACAAACCCAGGCCATAAGAGTTCCAGTATTTATCAGTCCTAATCCTGACTGGAGAACCCAATTACCTTTAACTGATCACGACATTTACAGTATGATAATACCAGCCATTTATTACCAAGTCCGGGAAAAGGACACGGGTTTGGGGCCTGGGTCCTCCTCCTCTGCCTTGTATTTCCGTATGGTGCTTCCAATGTCCTTTCACCTCGTTTTTCACTTTCAAGTTTCATCGCCTCTGATTTCTATTTCATAAATTTCCTGATGCGGAGAACTTTAGGATGCTCACGTAAAGTGCCAAAGTGCATATGCAAATCAATTCGATGTACCGTCTCAAGCCAAGCAAGTCTGCATGAAGCAACTCTCTACAGTAGCACGACACAACGTGACGCGCGTCTTTCATGGCAAAAGGTTGGCGCTTGGTAGCAAATTT